TCGAGAAACTATGTTTAAAAAACCGACCGGGACCAGTCGGGTCGACCCGAAACTCGGTGACCTAAACCAGAACCCGATTCACTTAGTTAAAAATCCCAGAAGTGGTCAAAAAACGAAAAAAAAAAACCTGGCAAACCTGGAAAAACCTGGTTTTGTTTGATTTTTCCAAAAACTGTTAATTCTTTTTAAACTTTAAATTATTTTTAATCAATAAAATTTCAATTTCAATACCCTATCAACCGTTGTGTGTAGATTATCAATCTCAATTGATTTCATCAATGAGATAAAGAGATTAAATGCTAATAGTAAGAGTTGTTAATGAACGACCGCTCTCTTATTCATAACTACCATCAATGAATTGGAGATACTCCACGATTAAGTATTCGAGACGAGAAAAGTAAAAGATATAACCAGGTTCGACAAACATATCAACAAGTGGAAAGTAGCAAAACCAAGTCTTTTATCTCAATAATTGAAGTCACATAAATCGCTCATCTTAGTGTTTAATTATTCTCAAGTGAAACAATCTTAAACACCCATTTGTTCCAAGTTCATAAAAGAGAAATACATAGTTTCATGTGGATACTAACTCTACTTCACTATACTATGTATTAGTATTAGCTAGTATTGAATTTATTTTGACACACATAATGGATTTAGTTACATCAAATTTGGCGTCGTTTTAGAGAAAAGGATTTTTTTTTATAAAAACAATCAGAAAAATAAAAATACTCCGTATATAATAGTATAAAGATCTCTTACTATTCTATTTTTGAGTTATACAAGAGTATATAGTAAAAACTGGTTCTATAAACGAAATCACCTACCAAATACAACCAAAAATAGAACAAACCCTTGAGAGGTTGAGAAGTAAATTTTCAAATACCAACTCGGAAGAATCATCAAACGCTGGCTCTAGCAAATCCGAAGAACCCATCCATATGGCGCTAGAGACAAAGACCTTGAGGGAGCTCGTAGCCCCAAATATAAATCAATAATCTTTATGTATCACCTTCCCCACTCTTGATGAAGGTGGTACCTTTAAATTGAAATCGGGGCTCATTCATCTACTCCCATCATTCCATGGTCTAAGAGGAGAGGACCCAAACAAACATCTTTCGAAGTTTCATATAGTTTTCACTAGTCTAAAACCGAATAATGTCACTGAAGAACAGATCAAGCTAAGGGCATTTTCATTCTCACTCAAAGTCCGCAAAGGATTGATTATTCTATCTTCCCTCAGGAAGTATAAAAACATGGGTGGTATTAAAGAAATGCTTCGTAGAAAGTTACTACCCCGCCTCTATATCATCATCTATCAAAACTCAAATCAGTAACATCGAACAAAAAGATGATGAATCGTCGTACGAATATTGAAAACGATTGAGGAAGCTGTGTGTTAGTTTCCCCTACCATGGGTATATATGGAGGTAGACCTCATCCTCTACTTCAATTCTATGTTGGTTTTGCTGATCAATATAGATGAATGATGAACGTAGCATGCTAAGGGGAAATTGTCAACAAAACCCCTTCCCAAGCAAGAAGTCTAATCTCAAAGTTGGCTAAGAATTCTAAACATTAAAATAGGCAGTCCACAACCCAAAGAGTTGCTGCAGCAGAATCCAACACATCATTAAAGATTCATCTTGCGGGTTTGAATTCTTTGGTAAAGGATTTTCTTCTAAACCCCAAAATCCAAGAAGTGAAGGTGTGCGCCATTTTCACATCATAAGGACACCCTACCGATGCATGTCCGACACTACAAGAAGAGAACACCGAACAAGTCAATGCCTTAACATGTGGCATATATATGATATTGCTCATCTTATCCGGTCAATCACCGTAATAGTCATCTCGTAGAAGTAAAGTAACAAAGACATTTTTCCGGGTTCATCGTTGGAATGCATAAAAAATGGGCCGGGATATGCAACTTGATGAAGTATATTCCCATATACCCCAGGGGGTACCAACATTCACAGACAAAGAAAGTCTTCGGAACACTAAGTCAATATTTCGCTGAGGCCGACCTCGACCCACCCGAGGTCGGTCCGAAGATTCGACTCCCAGATCACCACGATAAGACCGAACCCGAGGCCGAGCTCGATTCTCGGCAAGGTCGGTACCAGTCTTACCTCAAGCATGACTACGAAGTCAAGCAAAGTCAACAGAGTGTAGATAATATCACTACTGATCAAATGGAAGATAGGGATCGAATCCTCCAGCATAAGCTTACCAAACCCGAGCTCTGCTCCCACTTACCGAGCTCGGGGCCCCGCTAACCAACTATGGACTTGTGCATTTCAGCAGTTGAGTACCACACAAAACTATGGCCACGTCACCATGGCGGTTACCGCAAGGAATATTTCAGGTTACACACGTGTGGCATGCGAGTGGGTTCTGACACACAAAGGACGGATTCTGTTACATACAGCACCAATGAGCCATTTGTCAAAGATATCTCTCCAATCACCGATTCACCATTACACGTGTCACCGTCCTATTAGACTGGTACATTCATGCTTCTTAGACAGGTGGGACACGTGTCCTCATATCACCACATTGTTTGGCTTGTTGGCCATGTATTTTCCTTAGTATAAATATCACCTTCCACCATGTGGAAAGGGATCCAATTTGAGCTTTGTTGTTACTCTGCCAAATTTTGTACTCGATCTGACTTAACACTTTCCAGACTCTCCATTTTCCCGGATTTCACCCACCCCCAGATCAAGAGTTCATCACAATCAATAGTTGGTGTTTGACCATTGTTGTTGTCTTCATGGCCATCCACCATCTTGATTACAAGTATGGTGAATGAAGTAAAAAATTAGGAGAATTAGACCGAGTTTGAATTGACTCGATCTAGTACCATATTAAAATATAGTATTGAAAAGAAGAAATGAATTAAACAAATTCAAGAAGAACGAAAATGAACTGGTGTATATTATATTATTTATTTTTTAATGTCCGGTAATGTCCAAAACCCACAGGAGTTTTGGGATGGGTTGGGGGAACATTCCACCAATTTATTAAAACGCAAAGGAATTACAAAGGGTAGGGGGGACCAAATCGATGCCTACTCGGAAAAACAAATTAAAGGAAAAGACGGGAAATTACAAAATAATATAAGAGAATCGTATGGCATCAAATTTTAGGATGTTGGTAAACTGAGTAGGTTGAGAGTTGTTGCCTCCACTAATGTAATGTGTTGCATGGTAGACTGCCATGTTGATTACTTCGAAGGAGATGGATTGCAGATTTAAAATTCTTCGAATGTGGGTAATAATGTAAATGTCATCGCACTATCCAACACAATGCACCATAATTTCTCATCCGAGATTCTAGTCATCAATTTGGATGGAATCATTGAATCAATCACCAACTTTTTATTTCTACAAAAAATTAAGTTGTTAAAGATGTAACTTATAAGAGAAAATTGGGGAAATTTGGCAATAACCTTTTGACAGCCATGGGCTCCTAACAATGAAGGCTGTTGGGATCGACTGGGACCGGCCAGTTTTTGCCTTGATTTTCCTATATCCAGGACCAAATACCTTACGTGGGTTGTATTAGGTTCGGTTTCGAACTGGGATCGTACTTTCTGTCGGTCACAAAATCGGGTGAAACTTTTTTATAAACATGTTTTCAGATTTCAAAATGGAAAACTAGAAAATGAAAATATAAAATTAGAGATAGAAGAACTAGAAAATGAAAACAGAAAATTGGAGAATGGAAAACAGAAAAAAAGAAAAGAAAATATCTCTATTAGTAAACAGTCCTTTAACTTTTTTTAATGTTTACGATTGTATTACGTAGTTAAATATAATTATAGTTAAAGTTGTGCGATGATAAAAGGGAAAGTCAAACTATTGCAATTTTTAAATAACGGTGGATTGTACAAATAAAGTAATAAATACTCCATGGATATAACTTTTTTTTACTCCATGGATATAACTATATCAAACATTCAATTCAAAAAAAACAATTAAAAATTACTAACCAGACGCATGTTTATAAAAAATCTCCTCTTGCTGGTAAATTATTGGATTAGTCTCACTTGGGTATATGGGTGATAAATTTTATTTTGAGTTCTTACGTGAATATTATCAATGTAGTTTGGGTTTACAAAAAAGTGAATAAGTAACCATAACTACCACTCACGTACAAAAAAGTGAATAGTTGTGGGGAAATCACCTTATTCTTTCAATTAGTAATCATATATTTGTTAGATTGATTTAAAGTACTAATATGCGTTTTCTACCTAACAAATTTGTAGTCATATATTTTTTAGATTGATTTAAAGTACTAATATTAAAGTACTACTCTCTCCGTCTCACTATGATTGTCCCATTTTACCTTTTCAGAAAGTCTCACTAAGATTGTCTCATACCATATTTGGTAAAGATTGTGTGGCTCTAAATCATTCTAACTTTATTCTTACTTTATCAATTTAATATCAATCACACAAATATACTTTCCTTAATAAGCGTGTCACCTTCTCTCGTCCCAATCTTAGTGGGACGGAGGTACTAATATTTATGTAATTTTTCTTTTATTATATGCGTTTTCTACCTAAAAAGTCACAAAGAGACCGTTAATGATTGATTTCGCCGAAAGAAATGTATGCAATATCGTCAAAAAGGTTAGGAGCATTAATGGAGAAACATTTACGCCGCCTGGATCATATACGTATTTTTACCTTTTACTTTTCCCGTGGAAAAAAAAAACTTGCTGTAAATAAAAAACTACAGAGTATTAAGCTTGATAAGTAATTAATTTTTAGTATAAGATCAATTTGAAAATATAAAAATGTTTGGACAAGAAATAATTCAAAACTAATTAATTTAAGAGTACAATGACTAAATGGTCCCTGAACTATCATCATCATATCATTTTGATTCTCAAACTATTAAATCTATCATTTTAGTCCATAATCTATTTAATCTACATTAATCGAGTCCTTCCGTTCAATTTTGGCTTTTAAATTGGCGGTAGCTAATTTATTAACATCTCATAGTCTTAAACATTTTAGGACGATAGTACAATTATTCTTAACATTTAAGAATATACATATACGTACACTACACATATAAAAGTTAAATAATACGGAGTATACATATACGTACACTACACATATAAAAATTGAATAAATAATTTAAAACCAAATGCATGAATTAAATAATATGTAAAAGAGAATCAAATAGCCTAATTATATACGTATGAGCGGATAAAATTAAATACTCCGTAAGAAATTGAGCACCGCCGCATTGCCATTTTTTTGTCTTATCTCAGTATTTTAGGCGGTGCTGTTCTGGCCTTCCGGGAGCACTGTCAACCGTCGCCTAACCGTTTTTTCTTCCCTTGCCAACAAAATGATTGCCGGATCGGAGACACAGAAAAAGAAGCTAAGCAACGATACTCACGATCAAACCCTCGAGCAGCTAAAAATGAGCCGGACAAACCCTAGACCAGATTAGAACTCAGCCGGACAAACCCTAGACCAGATTAGAACTCAGCCGGACAACTCGTAGACAACAAACCATGCACAAGAAAATAACATTATCTTCTTCCTGGTTGGATATTGGCATTGGAGTAAAAGTAATACCCAATATGATGAGAAGAGGAAATTAAATAGCCAAGTACGGAGCATGTTTATTGAATAATCATTACAATCCTTTGGAATAATTAATTTTAATGATCGCAATGATTGTGTTATCTTAACTCTTAAATAAATAAGACCTGTATCATAAATATAAATAAATGTTTCTAACTTGAGATTTTATTCAAATTTGTGACAAAAAAATCATTCATGATGATCAAAATTCCATGTGTAGAGTCACACACCCTATATTGATTATATGGGCAAAAATAAGGTGAAGTAAACTTTGCGCATAAAATTTCGGCCGTCATATGTAAATTTTTGCAAGTTTGAATAAAATATCCAACTGAAACATTTTGTAATATTTTGATTCATTTAAAAGGTAATGTACCAAAATGCAACAATACCGATTTCATTTATGCATTTGATCCCCTAGCCGGCCATGAGTCCATGACAAATGCAAGACAAAAGGAATGAAGCTAGTCATGGCTGATTGCATCGTGCAGACTTAAAGGAGAGAGTATTCTGGGTAAGATCATAAGTCACATTCAAATTCTGCTGTTGAATGTTTCCAAATATGGTCATCCCGCCTGTCTTGCTCGTGTTTAACATCGCCAAGCACGACATGTTGTGGGTCTCCAAGTCTACAAAGTAGTTCTCCTTGGGAAGCTCCAAATCCAGGTCGCCATCGAAATGGAAGGTCAGCTTCGGGAAAATTTTATCATCGGACTGCAATGGCATCGTGAAACACAAATCCAGCCCCGTGATGGCGGCACCGGCATCGTACTCCGTCACTGCCAACTGACTGATAAGCTCCTCCTTGAGCGCCGCAAAGACTTTCCGTTGCAAGTAAGTCAAGGGGGTGCCAGAGTCGACCACAATCCCGCTGCTCCCATCCGGGTTCGACTCGAACTCCGCCTCCGGGAGATGCAACCGCTTGTGGCCGACGCTTATCCCCTTAAGACGAATACTGTAATGTGTATCATTTGGTAACAATGGGGTAGTTTTCACAACTTCTTGTGAGTAGGCGGCGGCGATCATAGGGTCGTTGCTCTCGCCGCCGCCTAGAAGTCCCACTTGAAGCATGCTCTGGGTAAGGCTTGCCATGCTAGACAAGCAATACCAAAAGATCGGCATTTTGGTTTGCGAAATCAGCGACATCTCCCCACGGCCTAGCCCGATTATACCGGACGATCCGGCAGGTGGGGGATGCGCCTGCCCCCACCTGTCGTGAACCTGACCGCACCCGAAAATGACACATGGGACAGTAACATTGTTCCCAAATGTAATACTGTCTCTGCCTAATTTGCCATCGTTTGTTCTTCCACTCCCATATGTGATGTTGAAAGCACATACTGAACTATTGTTGTCACACGACAGAGACGGCAGCGCCGTTGAATTGCAGAGGTTGTCGGAGCAGGGGAGCTCCGAGAAAGAAGACGAATTCTGGGGGTTGTAATCATCTGTACTCCCAGAATTGTTGTCCAAACAGTGCGTCCAGATCATGTCACTGCCGGTGTCCATAATGTAATCCAACCACACCTGCGGACTGCCGAAGCCGAGCGTAATCAAGAACTCGCCGGGGACGGGGATGACCGCTGATCGCACGTCGTTGCCGGCCGCCAGTCTCTGATCAGCTGGCAGCCCGCGAGTCATGGCGCGTTGCAGACGCTCTAGGGTGGTGAAGTTTCCGTTGAAGTCAACGCGCCGGAGAGTAGCCTTAAACCCTCCTCCGTTTCTGGACATGGAATTCACCGGAATAGCTAGCAGCAGTTTTATTGAAGAAACCAGTGTCAACAACATTAGCCACCTGCACCAACAAGCCATTATATTTTTTATTCCTTTCTTGAATCAATCACAATTCACAATCAAGCCAAGCTATTTCCAAAATACTACCGTTCTTAAATAAATGCAACACTTTGACTTTTACACTATTCACACGTTCTACTTTGACTAAGTTTTATTTATTAATGTAATAATATTATTTTATGAAAACAATATTGTTAAACTTGTCTCATTGTAAATTTTCATAATCTATTTTTTTTAATTTTTTACTAATACAAAATCATTTATATTAATGGTCAAAATTGTGTCTCGGCAAGTGTAAAATATTAACCGTGGCATTTATTTAAAAATCTTTATATGGGAGCATAGACAAACAGGACCAGAAATCGATGGAAGTAGCAATTCGTGGGGTCCCCTCAAAATTTGTTTGATTACTTACCTTTATCACAGAATAATGTCATCTTTTTTAATTATTACCATATTTCCAATTTCACACTTTTAGATACGGAGTATTATATTTGATTATATTTTATTTTTCGGTATGCCCTATATGGCCCCATACTTCGGCAAATTGTACCGTGATATCAGCTTATCATGAGCATGGTATGCTCGTACCACATACGGCACCATTTTTCTTTCTAATGGGAGCACTACGTATGTTTTTTGTTCTTTTCCCAAATTCCCTTAAGTTCACCCATTTTCTTTTCCCTCAAGTCATCCAATGCTCCAGGTGTGCTATTTCTTTCTCTTTACTTTTCTTATATTTTCTTGAATTCTTTTTTCATCTCCATCAAAATACTAAAAATATTAAGGGTAATTGTGATTTTGCTTATCTTTATTTTTAATTAATTTAATTATAACTGATCAATTAATTTCTTTTAAAATAATTATTACAAAATTTTATTAATCCACATAAAATAAGTATATTGCATTAATAATCATACACTACTTTTGCCAAAAAAAATCATACACTACTTTTTTACTTTTTTTCTTCAATTAAAATTACTAATGAATTTATATTTTTTTAAGAGGTTTTTAAGACATTGAGTTTGTTTATTTTGATTTTTGAAGTTACATTTGATAATATATCATGGAATTACATCTTCTTCTGCGCAAGTTACATCTCAATGTACGCGAGTTACATCTTAATGTATGTGAGTTACACACGGAATAAACTCCAGCTATATCATTTTTATTTCCCTAATATTAAAAATAAAACATATTCACTATTTAGAAAAAAGTAATTAAGCTATTAAGATCAATTTTTCATTGTTTACATTGAAATCAATGTTTATAATATCTCAAACACACACAAAAATCACTGTTCAATTTTCCAACAAGTTACATTCTGTATATACCCAAGTTACATTTGCCATCAACGCGTGTTACATATGTAATAACACGAGTTACATTAAAAATCAAACCCTGCTATTGAACAAAAAAAATGATCTTTTCTAAAAAAACATTATGACCATGATATCAAAAACAAAACATATTCACGTTTTACCTAAAACAATTGTGCAATTAGACTCTTTTTTTTCATTGTTTACATTGAAATCAATATTTGACAAGTTACATTTTGGATGGGCTTGAATTACATTGATCATAATGCGAGTTACATATCTTTACATGGGAGTTACACCATCCATGTTACTGCGAAAAAAAGTCATTGTACATGTGTGTACTATTCACGCGTGTACTGTTCATGCGTGTACTGCTCATGCGATTTTTTTAATTGCCCAAAACTACATCGTTTTGGGAGTGGGAGCATGATGCTCATGGTGGGACGGTCGTATGGTATACGAACCGCCATAGTCCATAGTGATACCATTGGCCACTACTTTACGGGAGTTTTGCTACAGTTTTTAAAAAATGTTTTTCAGCTTTTGGCTTAAAAATAGTTGAAAAGAGTGTTTTTAAATAACAGTTTCTGCTTAAATTAATCACTTAAAAGCTAAAAGCTGGAAGTTGGTAAAGGGGTGCTTCAAACTGCTTTTCACTTTTTCTATTGCACAAAAGTCACTTATTTTATCAAACACTACCAACTTTTACTTTTTCAGAATCACTTTTTTCTCAAACACTACCAACTAATACTATTAACTACTTTCTTTAAAATCACTTTAAAAAGTCACTATGTTTGAACTTTGAAGTAAAAGCAATCACAAACACTCCCTAAATCGTGCACCCTTAGTACCACAGTTTGAAACGAGTTTTTAATGACGATCCTAAACCCACCAACTCTATAAAACATTACGTTTTGGATTGGTACAAAGGGTATATGGGTGACTAATATTCAGGTCCGGCCAGGCCGGACCACTCCCCCCGTCCGGCCTCCTCCATTTGGGGGTCTTCCCGGTGGTATTTTTTGCTCAAATTGTTTGTGTAGGTTCCTCATCAAGTCTAATTCATTCATACCAAATTTTAGCCAAAAATTCAATCGGGAAGGTCGTCAAATGATTTTTGCAAGTTAACTGGTCCGGAATATGTATTTTCCGGACCAGTTAACTTGCAAAAATCATTTGACGACCTTCCCGATTGAATTTTTGGCTGAAATTTGGTATGAATGAACTAGACTTGATGAGGAACCTACACAAACAATTTGAGAAAAAAATACCACCGGGAAGGCCCCCAAATGGAGGAGGTCGGACGGGGCTCCGGTCAGGTATACCTGACCGGAAGAGTACTCTATATGGGTAACATTACGGATCTTAATTATGTTCTTCCAAATATTATCATTTGGACCCTTTGGAAAATCCGCAATATGATTATCCATGATAATAAAATGAACATTGTTTCTGCACTACATATAAATCCACTTATATAGAGGCAACTCTTTGAGGCAATTAACATATTATTGCCTCTAAATGTCGAGGCCGTTTGGAACCACTGTTTTTCGGTTTATTAGGCTTATCAACCAACTTTTCACCAAACACGTAATTTTTGCTTTCGCGCGCTGGATTGTGTAATAAGTAGAAAAAGTAAGGTTGAGGTTACTTTTCTGGCTGTATTGGCTGGTGTTACTGTAGATGATCATTTTAGCTATTTTACATGTAATTTTTTCTTTATTTTATTAATAAAATATATTTTAAAAATAATTTTTTTAAAAAATTAGCAGAATCAGCCAATGCAGCCACTTCAGCCAGAACTTCATAAATTTCAACAAAAACAACCAAATCAGCCGATTTTCGTGCTACCAAACGGGCTCGTCATCTTTAGCATCAGATAAATCATTGTTGCCTCTAAATTTATATATTCTAAGTACATTGAGGCAACCATATCTTATGTGCCTCTAAATAGTATCATTTGGGGCAACATTGTTGTGCCCGCCTCTTAAAACTTGTTGCAAAAGTATAGTTGCCTCTAAAACAATTGCTTCGAAACACAAATTCATTTCTAAGACAATCTTTTGAGGTAAGAGACTAAGAACTCTTTGAGCCTCTAAAAGATATACTAATTCCTTCCTAATTTGATTTGTAAGAAATGGTTGACACAAAAATTTAAGAAGGTAACAAATTAAGTTTGACTTTGTTATTTTGTCATTTCTCTCATAAAGTAGAGAGACATTTAAGTAAATTAGCTGAGAAAATAAAAGTCATTACAACTGATATTTTTTCCATTTCAAATGTCATTCCTTTCTCTACCTTGAGCCCACGTACCCCGATAAACATGTGTACCACTCCTCCCAAGAAAAACAAGCCCGACATCTGCCTCAACCATTGGTAAAAGCCTCCCAAAGGATTTATCTATAATATAAACATTGCCACTATAAATCTTACCTCTACCACCTTATCGGGATAGTTCGTGGGCTTACATTGGGCATATGACCTACATTGATCGGACTAGTCACACCCAAACTACCACCTACAACGCTATCATTGACACTATTATCACCATCATGAAGATAAATACCTGCAATTTTATTCTTGAAGTTGATAATATAGATTTTTTTGGGTATCATGAGTTTTTTCTGTTCAACACTGGAAATGCTGGCATCAAATACAAGAAATCAAAAGACACTTGAGAGAGTATAATTGCTCGATTACCCTCACCCATCCTCGTATCAACTGCGCTGCTGAGTTTTTTGCTTACAGGAACACATTTTTTTGTTGTAATTAAAAATCCATAATCACCATTTAAACCATTTCATGGGTATTCATTTGATGCTACTAGCTATCCTTATGTATTTTAATGTGAGTAGGCTTTGGTCCGGTCCTCCTACTATTTGTATTCTTCCTTTATGTTTTTAAAAAACAAGTAGGGTGTTCCTTGACCTCTACCCCAAAATATCCCTTCAGGATATTTTGGTTTGCTAACTAGGTTAAAAAAAGGGGAAAAAATGCTTAATAATAGAAGTTGATTGATAGTTTTTGAGGAAAAAAAACAGCTGTAACAAGTGAAAGTTAACAGTGTTTGATAAAAGAATGTTTGTTGTGTACTAGAAAATGTGGGAAACAGTTTGAAATACTTCTCTGACAATCTTCTTTTATCTTTTAAGTGTTTAATTTAAACAGAAGTTGTCCTTTGAAAACATTTGTTTCAACCTTTTTACAAACACCTCCTTAATTTAAGATATACTCCGCAATAAACTTATAGGGGTGTATTGTATTAGGAATTAGTGACAAAATTTTAAAAGTCAATTGATTTTAAAAGTTTAAGTGTATTCAATGTGAACTTTTAAAAGTCTACAAAAGTCTAGGCGTATTCAATGTAGACTTTTAAAAGTCCATAAAAACATAGGTGTATTCATACTTCCATTTCATTCTTATAGGTTTCTAAAATCATGGATTCTGGTGGACTTTTAACTCATTGTTAGTACATTAGTAATGCTCTGCAATTGTCTTTTCTCATCACCAAAGATTTTTGTAGATTTTTCTGTTGTCTTCTACTCATCACAAGTACACATTGATCTAATTGTAGATTTGACTAATTATTTACCTGGGATCACAAACCGGCCAATAAATCTTCGACTAGTACCAGTTTGGTCAAGAGGTGGTTACCCAAATGGTCTCAATATGCAAGATTTGAACATTAAATTTTGATTTTTTATATCAACCTATGATAAATAAAGTTGATCAAGAAGATTCTACATTATACTGATACACAAGATACACTTAAAAAATTAAAAAGTGAGAGGTCGTCATACGAAGAAAAATGTAGGGGTGAGATCGATTCAGTTCTTCACAGAAAATTAGGAACCATTTGAAGAACCGTTAATCTCATATCGATTTGGTTCTGTAAGTTTTACAAGAACAAATATATGAATCGATAACCATTAAGATAAAAAATATTTTAACTATTACTGCATGTTATCATTAAACTGCTAACACATAAAATATAATTTCAAATAATTATACAAAATCCAACAAGCTAAAAATGAAAAGATAACAATTATTATGAAGAAAAGCCTAATTGCACCTATGCTTGTACTACATATAGCAATGAGTGTAACGATTAATGTTCTTACTCATTGAGTTGTGTAATATAACAATTGGTCATAAAAAGACCGAGATTGTTGAGCATTCTCGAAACTTTGAGTTTTCTTTTTAATAAAAATAAATTTGGTTTCTTACACTTCATTTATTCTTGTAGAACTCTACATTTACCACAAGAAATTCGTAATTTAGTGGCAGAATTTAATGACGGAATCAGTCATTAATTAGTGGAGGAAGTGGTGGCGGAACCCTATCCACCACAAATTCATGGAAGATTTTGTTCGTCACTGATTAGTGACGGATTCAGTAACCCACTCTTTAGTGACAGATTATTGTGGCGGATTTGTCGTCACTAATTGCTGACGAGCATTTTCCGCCACAAACATCTGTCACTAAATAGAAGAATGCAAAGTATTTATATATCATGCTTTTTAACAATTATTTAATTAATCTAAGTTTAAATATGTGTGTGTATATGTATATGCATATATATTATTAGACGAATCATATGAATACATGCAATGATATACATATAATAAGACAATAACATATTGTTGAAGTTAAGTCGTGGTGGTCTAAAACAATAACATACATGCAATGACACGTTCTCTTGGACTTTCATCTAATCTTTATGCTTTTGATTTACTTAGTGGTGATTAATTATTAATGAAGGCAAAAGCAATGAGAAAAGGAAGAAGGTAAAGTGGAGTTTTTTCCCAAATAGGGGTAGTTTTCAATCTTATTTCCCAAATAGGGGTGGTTTTAAACTTATTTCCCAAATAGGGGTACTTTGGCCTTGTCATCTGCCATGTCGCTATGTCTACCTATGCCTTGTCAGCAGTGGCCACATCACATATTCCACGTCATTTGACTCTTCCATATCATCAAATTTAGGTATGTTAAAAAATGTTTAAAAAAACGCTACTAGGAAGAATTGAATCCTTGACCTAGTGAACACAGCACAAGCTCCATACTACTGGGCTGACTAATACACTTGTGATAATTTCGCCCTTAGTAACATTTTAACTATACACATGCTAAGTACATGAATGTACAAGCTTAACTCATGTATTGCTCGTTTCTAAAAAATGTATTACTACTTCCTCAAATAGTTATAAAATATAATAAAAGCATAATAATTTCAGGTATTCAATTAAAAATATACTAAAAACTAAATTTAAAAATTTAAATAAGTGTCATGTTGTGCCCAAGCTCACGCCAAATTTTAAAAAATTATATTATTAATTTAAATAAAGTGTAAGAAATTATACGGAGTTTATATTATAATTAAATACTAGAAGGTAGTACAAATGCAATGTGAACAACTGGACTCCGTTAGTCATTTGTTACAAAGTCTCCTGTGCAAATATTTAACATATACTACTATATATTTAAGTGCACAAGAGTACCAACTTAACTCATATATTAATCGTTCCTTTATAAATATATATCTCGTTCTTTAAACAAATAAAGAATATGATAAAATTTTATTAAAAAAAAAGAATACTCGTATGATAAATACATAATTTGAGTAACAACAAACATAATTATGGAGCATAAATTAAAATGGATAAAGGTGCAAGTTAAGCCTGAATTAGTGAATGAAAGTTTAGTTAAATATTTCTAAACGAGTGAACGTACCAACTACTTAGTGTATTCCTGTGGTTTACATGTTGTAAGTTTGTCCATGTGGTTGTGTGTTCGATTCTCAAGTGCTTCATTTTTTTAAAGATATCCAAATGGCTTATGACTTGGAATGACTTATGATGTGGAATGGCTGATGAACGATATGGAATTGATGATGTGGCCAAAATGGATGATATGGAAAAAACTACACTTAATTAACCTTAGTTTATGAAATAACTTTAAAAGTACCCTTAGTTGGGAAATAAGTCTATGTTGTAAAAACCGGACCGGAGTGTGACCCGGCCACATGACTGGGTCACGGGTCAACCCGGTCAACGCCGGAAAACCGGTCAATGATTATGTCTATATAATAATAGTAAACATATAATTATATATAAAATTATAATAAAAATTAGTTATTATTCATAATAATCAACTAACAATACTTCTTATTAAGCATTTAATACACTCTTATAATATTTCAATGTATATTTTGATCTTATAAAAATATATAATGATATTTATATTTTTATTGTACATCTATACTATAATTTGGCATGATGTTCATTCTTAAATAAATATATAAATATATTACGTAGTTTTTCTTTTTAAGGTATTGAAATTGCAATTTTATTGGTATAAAAAATGCATTAAAAATAAAAAAGAAATTACTTTTTTTGGTAAAAACACCCAAAAATTGAGTTTTACCGTGTTTTTTCGGGTTTCTTGGGTCTGGGTCTTGACCGGGTTTTCCCGGGTCAACCGAGTTTTTCCGGGTTTTGACCATTTCCGGGCCCTCATGTTTACTTGGAGATATTCACATCAGCATGTAAAGTATATTTGTGTTTAGATAAATCCTAATACTACGTATATGCCAATCGCACCTATCATACAAATTCATCCCTATAATCATTATTGTATACTCATCTCATACACTGAATCGTCGTTAAAATTTTCTAAATCATTTTTCTTCAAATATTTAACAATCGATTGAAGTTATTACCACTAAGTTGTGTATTTCATTCTTTTAAACTTACGTTTATATTTAAACACAATACAGTGAATATCAAACGTCTACATACAGAATAATAGTTTTAACAAATTAATGAACATTTAATTAGAGCATACAAAATATTAAAGTTATATACAATTTCATCATCCCCATAATATAACGGGGACGGAATACTAATACTAATAATAATAATAAGTGGGGGGCGGGAACGTACTGACCTTTATATAAGAAATGTAATGAGATTGAGCCCCAAGTATTTTCTGCAGTTCGTTTCTACCTCTTCTACTTGTTCAAATATTTCCTAATTGGTATATAATAGTATATAGTAATACGTATTTTTAGAACTAGTTTTGTCTGGCCGCATGGAATTGAAGTTTTGAAATTATAGAGAGCTATTTATATATAGTGTGAGATAGCCATGTTAATTCATATACGACGTAGTAGATAAAATTATTAGAGGACATAATTATTGAGCAACTATTCCTTCAAGATTGGTGAGGCTAGTTGGCTTATTATTGAACGTGTAAAATTTATTATGGAGTAGACTTTAGGTGGCTGCCCATTCCTAATTAATTGAAGATATTTGATTATTATAATATATTTTAGAATTGTCCAAATTCCTATTTAGATAATACGAAACTTCATTTGATAATTGAGACATGTATTGTTTCTTTCTAGTATAGTTTAAATGTCTTAGAATAGTGTTAGAGTACGTACTATTGTACTTTTATTTTATTATTACTGCTCTTAATAAAATTATACTTTATAATTTATATGAAGTAGGAAATGATTTTTAATTTGATAAGGTAATAATATCTATAAAAAAATTATTCATATGTGTTTTAACTATTAGACCATATTTTGGGGCGTTACACATCCAGTCAATAAAACGAATAAAACACCCGAATTGATTATTCTTAAAAGAAATTTGAAGTTTACGGGAACCCTCAAATCTTGTACAAACAAGGTTGTTAAAATCGTATTTTTGAATCGAATCGGTAGATGTTTTTGAAAATCGAATCGTAAAATCGAATCGCAAATCGTAAGATTTTATCAAACATATTTTAATAATTATAAAATAAATAAATATTAAAATTAAGTTGCAAGTTAATGGTATTATGTCATTTTATTACATACCACTATACCTACAAGGTCAAAAACAAGATTTATAAACTATTTTTATATTGTAAATAGAGTGAATAATAACATTAAACATATGTATCACGGAAAAATAATTAAATAACACAAGAATCCAATACTTTTTTAAATATACTATTGATGTTATTATTATTGAAATTTTGTATCAATTTGTAGTAGTTAATTTTAATAAATTTGAACCATTTTCACTAAAAAAAACTTATTCCGATTTTGCTACGATTTTGATACGATTTTATACGATTCTACACGATTTTTGTACGATTTTGTTACGATTTTGTACGATTTTATGATTTTACGATTTTACCTGCGATTTGAATCGATTTATTATTGTAGAATCGTAAAATCGTACGATTTTACGATTTAAATCGAGATTTTAACAACCTTGTGTACAAACCCAAGAAGCTCCAACTTTAGTACGATGAAAAGAAGAAAATAGCCAGTTTGCTCAATCTTGTAAGGGAACACTTGTCACGCCCCGGACCTACCGGACACGTCAACAACCCGCCGTACAGTACGAATAGTCAACCGCAGTCCAACTCATCCATACTATACTAGGCGTCTTGAATATCATTCACAATAGTACATCCATAAACAAACATAATGTAAAACAATCAATTGAAATCAGCGGAAACGTTTAATACAAGTGTTTATGCCACACTCCGGCAAACATGGGCATACAAGCCCCAATAATCATCCAAAAATATCCATGAGCATTAATTGAAATGTTTTTAAAATAGAGACGGAGGAAGCACGAACCACGTCTTCCTTCCTAGATCTTCCCGAGGCAACGGGCACTGGTAGCAAGCTCTACTCCCTACCTGAAACTGTGAGGTGGCCTCCCCCGTGAAGGGGAGGTCAGTACTTGGAAGCATTTGACAAGTACAATGACAACTATACCAAGTATAATCAATGTTTCAACTTCTAAGACCCTCAAAATAGGGTGATATCATAATATAAATAATAATTTTATATTTCCCACTTATTACCTCTATAATAAGTCAATTTATTTATTTGTCGGCACACGGCCCATTTCATATATTTCATTATACCCGTCGTTAGCACGACACCGCCCGTAGGTCTTATCATCCTTTACGAGACTTGTCACCGCTCTCCGAGGCCTCACCGGGCTCTCGGGCCGGAGTCCAACATCCCGCCCCTGAACTCATACCCATCGTCCCGTAGGAAGGTAAGGTCCATTCGGGGTCCTATCTTATGTGTTACCGCTGTCGGGAGCCTCGTAAGGTCTCCGGTTCGGATTCCACCCTAACCCGTGATCACGATGTAAGTCCATGCTATCCAACCCCGCTCTCTAGAGTCGGGAAGGGCCATGGTCCTTACTAATTTCCAATACTCTATCGGCTAATCCTTAAAGACTACCGAATACACCCGTAGGCCAATCCTATTCCTAGGATCAATTTATTATTCTCTTTATCTTGGGTATCCCTTAAGGCCTACCCCTAGCATCACTTATCCACCTTAGTATCTCTTAAGACTACTTAAGGCTCAACAATTTACAATCCAAACCTTGGATCAATTCTAACATATTTCATTCCAAAACCCCGACTAGTATCATTATACTAGTCGGATAAATTCCAACAAAATCTCGTTTCAGTTCATAGTCATATAGACAATTCTCAAACTAATTTTCCATTTGAAAATGTAGTTCATATCAATATACAAACTATAATCTTTAATCACTCATATATCCTTATATGAAGTTAAAATTATATTTCAACATAATATTCATAGTTAATCCCTTCATCAAGCCAATATGCTCATATTACATAATCATACACAATTTATCCTTAAATTTGTATATTATGCTCCTTTATTCATTTGACAACAATATTTTCATTTAGGCATTATTAATCATTAATAATCCATGAAAATAACATTTAACTACTTTAGGTAATCTTACGAAATTAACCCAAAGATTATAAACAACATAGTCAGCCATCCTCACCTTATGAAGTGCTGGATTAGTTGCCTTTGATAAGCCCTTCGATCAATCCCCGTTCTAAACCGATCAAAAGCTAAATCTGGTCTGCCTGGACAAAAGCCGGCCGGCTTTGGCAAAAGCCGGGCGATGTTCGTCTGTCTGCTGCGCAGGCAGCTTCTCCTTCTTGGCGGTTTCCGGTGGTTTCAACTCCTATCGATTCCACGACTCTTCTAAGTTAAACACCACCACTTTATGACAATATTCTACACTTTTAAACGTGTAGAACTCCATGTTTAATCCATCGTATGATTTTCAAAATCATACTAGAATAAACTAGTTAAACAAAATAGATAGAGTTCTTACCTTGAACTCAAACCACTTCTTGTTGGATTTCCTTCTTCTTGCTACCTCCAATCCAAGACTTTGCTAGAGCTCACTCCTGACCTCTCCTCTTGGCTCTTCCCTTCTTGTGTGGTTCGAATGATGGCAAGGGAGTAGGAGAGAAGTCTTTCTCAATCTACACAACATGAGGTGTGGGATAGGACATGGGTGAGTGGGTTTTGTCTCAATGAGACTCCCCATCCCCATCCTCCGCACAAGCCAAATTGGTGTGGCCCCCCTCCCTTATTTTTGAGTCAAATTAGTGTATAGGATACCCCAAGTGGGTGTAGGAAGTCCCTCCCAATTATTCCTGCTATTTCTGGCCGACCGGGTCAAAATAGCGCTCGGGTTGTCCAACTATTTTTATCAACTTCGGTTGGCATTTTATTTGGCTACTATAATTATTATGATAACCCAACTAAATATTTGGTAGCCCATTCTCATATAATGGACCCAATATATAATTTAATTAATCATGCATTAATTAAATACACCAATCAATTACACGAATTTTATTCGCTAGGAAATTCAAATACATATCACATTTCAAATCCAAGTACATCCGGGTGCGGTGTCACAAGTTCACCCCCCCTTAACGGGAATTTCGTCCCCGAAATTCACAAATGCTTATTCAAAAAGAAATGCATATTGTTCCTTCATCAAGGCTTCTGTTTCCCAAGTTTCTTCTTCAACTCGGTCACTTTTCCAAAGGATTTTAACCATTGGAACTTTCTTGCTTCTCAGCTTCTTTACTTGCCTGTCAAGTATCCTCACCGGTCGTACGGCATAGTTCAAATCCTCACGTATTTCCACGGGTGGTTTCTCTAACACGTGAGACGGATCCGGCACATATTTCTTTAGCATAGACACGTGGAACACATTATGTATCTTCTCCAATTCTGGAGTCAACTGCAATCGGTATGCTACGGCCCCAATTCTTTCAAGAATCACAAATGGCCCTATGTAGCGTGGGTTTAGTTTTCCTCGGCTTTGAAATCGGATGATTCCTTTCCAAGGAGAAACTTTCAAGAATACCTCATCCCCCACCTTAAATTCCAAGGCTCTTCGGCGCTTATCGGCATAGCTTTTCTGTCTATCTTGGGCCGCCTTAAGTCTCTCTCAAATCATTTTCACCTTTGACTTGGTGATCTCCACCAATTCCGTGCTCTCGAGCTTGGCCATGCCAACCTCATCCCAACACAAAGGTGTACGACATCTCCTCCCATACAATGCCTCGTATGGAGGCATGCCAATACTCGCCTGGTAACTGTTGTTATAGGCAAACTCCACGAGTGCTAAATGGTTGTCCCAACTCCCTTGGAACTCCAATGCACAAGCTCTCAACATATCTTCCAAAATCTGTATAACTCTCTCGGATTGTCCATCCGTCTGTGGATGAAAAGCAGTGCTGAATTTCAATTTCGTTCCCATAGACTCTTGGAACTTTGGCCAAAATCGTGATGTGAATCGTGGATCCCTGTCGGACACAATGGTAATAGGAACCCCATGTAGCCTCACGATCTCATCCACATACAATTTGGCTAACCTCTCAAGTGCATAGGTAGTGTTGATAGGTAGAAAATGTGCACTCTTCGTGAGTCTATCAACCACAACCCATACAGCATCATAATTCCTCACGGTCCGTGGCAGTCCTACCACAAAATCCATGGTCACGTGCTCCCATTTCCACTCTGGAATGGAAAGTGGCTGCAATAACCCAGCTGGATGCTGATGTTCTACCTTGACTTGCTGACAAGTAAGGCATCGACTGATGTACTCGGCTATTTCCCTCTTCATACCAGACCACCAGTAACTTTCTTTCAAGTCACGATACATCTTCGTGCCCCCTGGGTGCATGGCATAAGCCGATGAATGAGCCTCCTCT